TTTCCGTTTGAAGTGTTAGGTCTCATACGTACCCTTTCACAAACGAGTTCAGCATTCCAGCAGGTCTCAGCAAGGGCAAGTTCTTGGCCCCAAATATCATAACCTGAAGCTGGCAGTTGGGAGCTCCTTGGTCTTTTTTTCCTGAACCAGAAGCATTGATCACATGAAATAACCAGTTAGTTCAGCTGATACCTCAAGATGCTGCTGTTAGTAAGCAGGAACATGACTGAGCCATCCTGCTGAGATAAGGGCTGCATTAAGATCATTTGAAAGATTTTAACTTGCTCGTACGGTGTATGATTCATACAAAAAAAGGGCAAGCAATGAGCAGCAGGTTGCTTTGTGATTCTGATTCCAAGCAAAGCTTTCTCTTGTATTTGTGGAAAGTCAACGCAGAGCATTTCTCTGAAACAAGGCCAGAAGCAGGAGAAACAGCGAAACCCACGGTGCGACACCGCTCTGAAAGTGAGCAAGCTGGTAACTTTGGGGTCATTTGGAAAAGAAAAGGGATCAAAATTAACCTAACAGCTAATTAGATCTTTCTATTGGTCTCTACCTGTTGCTATGGTCCTGAACACAGAGAGCATTCGAGTGCTCTGAATCTCTGTATGCCTTACTATGACCTAGGGAGGAAAGGAAAATGAGGTTGTCCCATCCCTTCCCCTGAAAGTGTTTGTTTTACTCCACCAGCAGGTGTGTGCTCTGACACACTACAGCAACACTCAATGTACCTTACAAGTCTTTCATTGCCAAGAACTGAATCCTGCCTGTACATTTCGAACCTAACATCTTCCAAGTGAAACAGTTTTTCTAAAATAAGACCACTGGAGGAAGCCAGAGGTGCTGGTCTGGTTCTCTTGCTGCCCTTTCGCTTCTACCTTTTCCCTAAATTGTCAGTCTCTGCCTTGGGCAGTAAAACTGCTGCATCATCTCCAGAATAAGGTCTACTGGCAACACCATGACGGGCACAAACTTGCCAAACAGCTGGGTGCATCATACTGGTGCAGCTTTTGATGGTATTAAAAAGAAGAAAAAGATGAAGTTGGCAAATGTTTGGATTTTAATTAATTTAAATTATAATAAAATACAAACTACCATTTGCAGTAGCTGCTATAAGCGCCATACAGGAATACTATATGGACACATTGTCAGTCCTTCATTGAGCTCAATTCTTTTCTAGCCAAGGGATTCATTTATGCTAAAACATTTTATACCTTCAAACTGGAAATTTTTATGCTGGGCTGGTACTGACAGTCTTGCAGACACGAGGAGTTCGCCACTGTACTGGATAAGATCATCTTCAGACTTTTCAAGCTGAAGAAAGGGACACACAGAAGTCAGCATGACTGCAGTCATTCTATTCCACACCATTCTCACAGCTCATTGATGTTTGCAACACACCTTACCACTGGGCTGGATTGACAGCATTTTTCCCTCAACGACCTCAGAACGGTGATCTTTTTCATAGTTTTCACTACATTCTGCTCTTAAGATACAACTGAGCACAAAAAGTAAGAATCACCTTGGGTTTGAGCTGGTACCAGTTGAACAACTGCATGGAGTAATCTTCAAAATCCCATGCTGCCAGTGGAATCACCACTTCCCCCAAAAACACCCTGTATTTGAGTGCTCCTGCATGCCACACAGATATCTGAAGCTGCCGACTTCCCAGCTGTGAGTATTCAATCTTGTACTGGAAAGATAAACAACATTTACAAAGGAGCACAGAGGATGGATGCAGGGCCATGCTCAGAACCTGCTCAAAGGAAGCCCAGACGCAGCATGGCTGAAGGCATCTGGATGCAGACGGAACCACGGTGTCTCCACGTGCTTTGCAATTTGCATATTACCCCACTAGTTAAGTGCTAAATAATGCTCATCCAAACATGAAACAACATTCCAGGAATACCTTGGCCTGTCTTGCAAAAGATTTTGATTGGTTCATAGCTTTAAATAATGCTTGGTCATTTTTGCTGTTTTTTTCATTGTTTCTGCTTTACGCTGACAGCAGAATTTGGCTGCTCTGGAGGTCAGTTCCAGATTAAGACACCTGACAAAGGTGCTAAAACTCCTGTGCCAGTCAGTGGACACCTACCCAATGCAGTCAGTAAGGGCAAGGAAAAAATTCAGCTGACCACTAATAAAGCCCTGATCCACTCCTGAAACACAGTTAGAGCCTTTTGAGAGAGCTGGAGAGGGACTTTTTACAAGGGCGTGTAGTGACAGGACAAGGGGCAATGGATTTAAACTGGAAGAGGGGAGATTTAGATTGGATCTAAGGAAGAAATTTTTCACTCTGACGGTGGTGAGGCACTGGCACAGGTTGCCCAGAGAAGCTGTGGCTGCCCCATCCCTGGAAGTGTTCAAGGCCAGGTTGGATGAGGCTTTGGGCAACCTGGTGTAGTGGAGGGTGTCCCTGCCCATGGCAGGGGGGTTGGAACTGGATGATCTTTGAGGTCCCTTCCAACCCAAACCATTCTGTGATTCTATGATTCCATGGGTCTCACTCTCCCTTTATCAATTTTGCATGACTCTGGTATTCTCCTATAAAATTAGGACCAATTATTCTAACTTCAGGGTCTTTTTTCTCCCAACTTAAACCCTATATACAGACTTTGGGATAGATGAGAATTACACGCATTAATCTTTTTTTGTTGTTATCAAATATTAACAATGGTCTTTTCAAACATTTCGCCTGTTCCACTCACGGCGAATTCTCGATGTTTGTACACACCGAAAGACAAGGGTCACACTGAAACTCTGGTGACCTTCAAGGAACACACTACAAGTTTGCCCCTCCATTGACGTGGTTTCACATCTCTTCCAAGACAACATGTTACTGAAGAAGTCATCATCTCATGTGCTGCTGCAGCTTGCTGATGCACACAAAAAAGATGGGTTTGCAGTGATCCGAGTACAAAACTGGAGCTGGGAAAAACCAAACTAACCCAACCTCTCCCAGCTGACAGTAACTCAGCTTCAGGTTTGCGTTTCATTAAGCATCTGTGACGTGAGAATAATGGCTCCTATTTTCTCCACACAGTTGTTACAAGGATGCAAAAAGTAATATTGCAAGGCATTAAGGAATTAAAATCATAACTACTGTTGTCTGGTGGGATCATCAATGTTCGAAATGAGACACTACAAAGAGATGGGCTGGCATCTGTTGCACAGGGAAAAGGAAGCAGGCAACGTTTTAGAGGTGGTGGAATTCAGTCAGCATTCAGCTAACTGCAGAGACACACTCCCAGTGGCACTGGCAACCACTGGTACCAGTTGAAAGGGATGCTTGTGTAAAACACCAACTGCTCTGCAATACAGTCAGTTCCTGAACGCACTAAAAAAGCATCTATAGAAGACACTTGCTTTTGCCACAAAGTAACTCAGAACAACACTGGAACTCATCAAAAGCATTTTGATGGACAAACTCTTCTAACAGTTTGCAATTTACTATTGTAACTCCAAAAGCATTTTCTCTTATCCGGACCGAAAAACACAATTTTTTTAATTATTGTTATCAGTGACCCCTACAGTTGTCTCATCAGGATGATTCTTGCAGGATTGTACATTACAGAAGGAGACATTTCCACGGAAAAGCACGCTTAGCAGCACACAAGCTCTACCTTCAAAGTCTCGTTGAATTCAGGATCCACTGTGTTCTTTTTGACTGCTGTCTTCCGCTTACTCCGAGGAGATTTACCAGGAAGTAAATAAACCTTAACATACCTGGTAGGCAGAGAGAAAGAGAGACAGAAAGTGACTAGAAGGTGGGAGAGGGAATCAAACTAAGAAGAAAAACTAATCAGATGAGAGGAGTTTGTTCTTATTTCTTAAACGATTTTATTGACTTTGTAATTTTCCAAGCAATAAAATGGCAAATTGTGATTTATACCTTTTCTCAATAAAAGCAGACAGACTATAAGGATCCCTGTACATCATTCAGATAATGTGTTTCAATTTGATTCTAATTGGGGAAGGATTAGGATCCCAACAGGAATCTTCTGTGTTCATGCTCTTGGCCTCTGATAAAATAACCATAGAATCATAGAATCGTCTGGTTGGAAGAGACCTTCAAGATCATCGAGTCCAACCATTCACCCTGCACTGTCAGGGTCCCTAAACCATGTTCCTCAACACCAAATCCACACGGTTTTTAAACCCCTCCAGGGATGGGGACTCCACCACCTCCCTAATGAAGTAAGTCACCTTGCCAATTGTAGCGAGAGTTTTACAATTAAATGAAACAGCATATTATGTGCTCAAAGGGAAAAAAAAAAAAAAATCAGCTCAATCACTTTAGGATCATTGCTGCTTGTTCATGAAGAAAATCTATCATCTTTACAATGCCAAGTACTATGCAGCAGTAAAAGGTATAATCATACAAATAATACATAATAATTCATAACTCTTACAAATGCTGTTATAATAGCCAATGGAGTGAAAGTGGGAGATTGTCTAATGTGCTCAAAATCACCCTAACACTGATTCAAGGAAAATCAGGAAAAAAAAAAATTTCTAGGAGTTGATTTGGCCTAATATCAAGCACCATTGATTCCTACCCAATGTGTAGGTCATGGGAACATTAATACTTAAATATTCCCCTCCAAATGAGGTCAGTGGGCTGTATTTGTGTTCTCACACATATTTGTGCAGCTTCAAAACTAAAAAGTATTAGCAATAGAGAGTGCTTGCTCACAGCTTAGCAGGGAAAAGAGCGATTGTTGACAGAACACTAAATATTTTTAAACTGTACTTGTATATATTTCAGATATTATGATTTAAACTAATTTTAAAACAGCCTCTTGATTAACTTACTGGGTAAATAAAATCAGCTACAGCTCATATCATCAGTGCAGAACTTACACGTCTTCCCTCTTCTTTCCGAACTTATCCATAGGTAAAACTGCTTTTTAAAATATTCAGGTACTAGAAGTTTTAGCCTCTTACTCTTTCACCTCAGATCAATTTAATTAAAAAGTAGGCAGTCAGACTTCGAACTGGTCAACAAGCTAAATAATTCAACAGGTTTTACACATCAGCTAAAAGTCTGCCTTTCGGCAAGCGTGCTGAGTGAGTACCCCGGCTGCACTTCGGCTCGGAAACCAGCAGAAATATATAAGTTTATAGCAACAGAGAACATAATGTTCACTACACACCACCTCCCACGCTGCCTTGCAGGCTTCCTGCAACTGTTTGCCTGGCTTAGTTACCAGGGGACTTAAAGAACCTTGACTCACTGCTGAAGTGGTCCCCAACTGCCCTGCTCCAGCAAGGCTCCTTTCATCACCAAGCTCATCTTTCTGCACATCCTCTGCAAGATGCACAAAAGCTATGTTCCTTCTTTAGAAGGACGTTGAGGTGCTGGAGCGGGTTCAGAGAAGGGCAACAAAACTAGTGAAGGGTTTGGAGAACTTGTCCTGTGAGGAGCGGCTGAGGGAGCTGGGACTGGCCAGTCTGGAGAAGAGGAGGCTCAGGGGGGACCTTCTCGCTCTCTACAATTACCTGAAAGGAAGTTGCAGGGAGATGGGGGTCGGTCTCTTCTCCCATGTTAGGAATGACAGGACGAGAGGGAATGGCCTCAAGTTACGCCAGGGGAAATTTAGGTTGGATATCAGGGAAAATTTCTTTCCAGAGAGGGTTGTGAAGTATTGGAACAGGCTGCCCAGGGAGGTGGTGGAGTCCCCATCCCTGGAGCTGTTTAAAACCCGTGTTGATTTGGTGTTGAACAACATGGTTTAGGGACCCTGACAGTGCAGGGTGAATGGTTGGACTCGATGATCTTGAGGGTCTCTTCCAACCAGACGATTCTATGATTCTGGATGCAGATGACCGCAACTCCACAATTCCAATGTGGACACTCAAGTACTCAAACATGGTGTGACAATATGGGCAACAACAGGTATTTAGGTATCCTACCTGATGATTTCCTGTGAACGGTCGCTTCATGATCAGAGAAGATTGTTTAGTAATAAACAGACAAATCACCAAGGCTTAACTATGCAACCAAAAACTTCTCTAGCATATTCTATCAACAGAAGTAGGTATTTCTTCCTCTTACAATAATACATAATTATTAAACAGCTTTAGATTTTAAAATGTGCCGCAGTATCCAAAATTTCTGTTCTCACTACAGAAGATGGAAGCACAGAAGTAGAACAGCAATCACCCAGTGACCCACAGCGAGTCAGCAGATGAATAAGGAACATGACATCTCATGTTTTAGGCACTTATGTACTAATTTTGCAGGCAGAACTTAAGAGCTAAAATCTGAACAGCTGTTCTTGAGATCCAAAAGTACTCATCAGCAACACAGATACCCAACTGCCTGCTCACAGTCAAGGAAAGAGACAATTACTGGCAGAAAATGGTCAGAATAGAATAAGCACTGGTATGAAACTTATTTGTCTTGCAGTGTGCATACATAAAAAGAGCTGGTACGTATGTTGGATGTTCTGAAAGCGCTAACATGGCATATCATCATATATCAATTTCAATCATGACATACATAAGTATCTTAAAACCAGAATATTTTCCTTCTTTTTTTCTCCTTCCCTACAAAATACTTACGGGTTACATTTTTTCTTCTTGTCTTCTCCGTAAGCCAGGTTCTTGCATCCCTTGATGCAAATTTCTAAGATGCAAGCTTTGAAGACGTATCTTATGGCAAACTCTATTTCTCCTGTGACGTCGGCCTTGCCAAAACTGCCAGACTCAGTGCAAGTGCTGTTGAGACTATACAAACTCGCCTAAGAAAGGACAAATGTTTGGGAAAAGTAGCCTCAGATCAAACAGAACAAAACATTTATTTCCCTCAAAGGTCAGTATCTCTACAGACATGACCCTAGAGCTACTGCAAATCATGAAAATTTAAGGTAACCTGTATAAAACATTCTGTTGCTTCCATAACAGCCTTGAAAATTATGACTGTAATTGTAATTTTACTTCTTTGCCTTTTCTCTTCAGTAAACTCTCTAGACTAAGAAAATGCTTTCTTAGGCAACTTTGAGATCTAGAAATTGTCTCTGAATAAAACCGCTATGTGGCTTCCCACGGGAGAAACGGGGTAAGTGCCTGAAAGGAAGAGAGTGAAAAAAACTCTGAAATCTAAGAAGAAACAAATCATCAAACTAGCCTGCTTTTAACCCACAGCTCACAGAAGGGTGCACTGCTGAGACATTAGGTTCTAGCACATATTAAAGGCAACAAAAGTGGCCTTGCACACCCAGTAAATATTCTACAAGATGCCCCAATTCCATATAAAAATTACATACTCCATACTCCAGCAGGCTGTTCAGGAAAGATTAAAGTACAAAGACATCTAGTTGAGGTATGTTGGTGCATAAAGGTGTTTCATAGCTCACCTCAGCCACTTTGCTCTCCTTTCATCTCCTTCCACCTGTGTGGCAAAGGTTGGGATGCTGTGCATCCACAACAGAAACAGCATTTGTGTCTAGCACTTACAGAGGCCATGAAACCACAACGAAGGAAGAGACTACAATCCTTTCTTGGCCCACCACAGGCATGGAAATTTATGGTGTTATCCAGCCTTCACTGTAACAGATTATCAACTCAATCAAACTAGTTTGGTCCCCATTAATTTATAATTATACTCTTTAAGGTAAGCCCTAGAAACTTTTTACATAGCATATGTCACAGAGACACAATTGTTGTGATGAATCTCACAGCAACATCACTCTAGATAGCTGAGATATCTGTGTCAGGTCACCCCTCCCTCAGAAAATAAACACCAGTCCAGCCCACACAGGACTGGTTAACTGAGGAGTTCAGCATTGCACAACCCAGCAGCTAAGAGTGCAGAGTAGTATTTGTAAGATGACATCTTCTCTTCCATGCAGATGCTCTTCTTCACTTGTGCAGCTTGCCAAACACTCATTTCAAAAATCACACCAACAGCTCAATTAGATTAAAGAAGCTACTTGCTCTATCTTAGAAGCTCTAAGCAACATACCAACTTGACTAAAGAAGGATCAAAGTGCTTACTGAGGAAGACACAAGAAATATGAGGATCGTTTTGACCTGCTGCTTGTTGCATGGAATCTTGCTCCCTCCACAAAACGTGTATCAGCATAACCAATTTCCCTTGCAGCTTTGTTCAGCTCTGCTCTTTCACTTACTGACATATTTTCAGTCATCTGACCAGAAAATGCTTATTTTCCACCAAAATCTTTCATGACAAAGGAATGCAAACAGACTTTTGTATTAGCTCATGTGTTCTAAAAATAGTTCTGCAGAAGTTCCTAACATTTATTCCACAGAACCTCTTATGTATTTAGAGAGGCTGGATAAGTGTTCTGGTTAATGTGGCAACCTGGTGTAGTGGAGGGTGTCCCTGCCCATGGCAGGGGGGTTGGAACTGGATGATCTTTGAGGTCCCTTCCAACCCAAACCGTTCTATGATTCTATGTTCGGGCTGAATATCACTACGTGTCTCCCACCTGATCAGGGCTCACATACATTCAACGTAGAAACCACTCATCCTTTTGGTTCAATGAACTGAGACTTGGCAATGACTTCAAGTGTTGCACTCGGGCTGGCATGACTGGAAGCAATGCCATCTGATATTTTGGAAGATCCATTTTCATGGAGCGGTCATCGTCGTCCAACACTCACCCATAAAGGGAAGTTTAAAGGAACCTGAACTTCCCCTTTATAAGGTAGGAGAAAATATTTCAGTTTTAAGCCTGGGATGTCTCTAGCCCAGTTCAAATGGTTGTCATTAGAATCACAAATGTCATCCAAAACTTACCCATTTGCCAGTTTAACACCTCCGACTCCACAGTGCAGTGAACTATGAGAGAGTGCCAAGGTCCTTGTGCCTGTTTACACTTCTTTGCAATGCCAGCAGGCTGGCTGAATCCGATTCCCTAAAAGCCATTTTGGTTCCCTTCTTTACAACATAAGGCATGGATTCTTTGGATACTTCACCCTGCTTAACTTCTCTTCTCATCTGCAGTATTCAAAGTGCCATCCATCAGGGGATGATTCAATGCTATTCCCTAAACCTGTGAACTGCTCCCCTGGCTTCTGCCACTGGCAACTTCCTCTTCGTTCACTGACATTCTAACATCTGAATTTCCACTGACATTTCCATTACCACAGTTCTTGCAGAATAACAAAACCCTTCTGTTAGAAGAAGTTTTAAGAGAAAAAGCTAGCTGCTGGGTTAGAAAGGACCATGCTCACAGTCCCAGCCCTAATATAAAACAGGAAGAACGTTAGTCACATTTGCAAAATTCAGAGGAAGCTGATCTATTAGTTATTTATTATTAATGGATATATCCATCAGTTATCCATTATTAATTTGATTGGTCTCATGATGCAAAAAGTTCAGTGTCACTACGAGGATTGTGCCAGAAGCAGGCAGTCTTTCATCAAATACAAACTCAAATAAAATTCTTCCTTCATTTTGTAATACAATCCAAAATACACCAACATTTTGCACAAGATCTTAGCTTTTACATCTGTTCCCATTAAGCACCTGCACTACTGTGCTTCACCATTTAACTTACATGTCTTCTGCCATCACAGAAAACTGTATCACTTGTGGGACTGGTTGTTATTTCTTCTTCCTTCTTGCGATTCCTTTTGGTCGGAATTTCACGGTCATTTTGAGCCCCAGTGATGAGCTGTTGAAGACTGGGTGTACTTTTCATCTGTAAGAAATTCAGCAAGTAATTTTTTTTTTTTTTATTGAAGAAAAATGCTCTGATTCCTTCAGGAATGCTATCATACAATTCACTCTGATCAATGTCATGCAGGTGGGACACTTCCAAAGGCAATGTAGTAACTTAATTTAAACATTGATTTACCACTTTCTCATCCCAGCTAGTGGTACATTCATTATAGTCATAATTTTCTAAAATCAACATACTATCACCTAATCTAAGGATCTCTACCACAGCAATTAGTAACAACAGTCTACTAATAACACATCAAAGGTAGAAATATACTCAAAAAAGGTCTTATTAGCCTTTAACAAAACAGTAATTTTGGAAGAAAAAAATACAATCTTGCCTCCAGGAAATTAAAAATAGTATTTTGCAATATGCATGACACATGCCCATGTCTACCTATGCAAGAGCAAATGTAAGCTGAAAGAGACTTGAAAATAGACTCACAAGTTCTTACTTAACTTTGATCATACAAAAAGTTTACATTTCTGAGGTGTTCTTGACTTCGCTTTGACTCAAGTCCATTCACCTTCCCAATTTTCCCAATAAAACCCTGATAATTTGTGGAAAATTAAGATATATTGCAGGTAAACTCCTTGAGATTTACCTTCAGCCACCTCTGTCACCAATAACAATAGTTGACAGAATGAAGTGCCAAAAGACTAATACATATGGCCAGAAATAGGCTGAAAATAGATTTCAGCTCATTCTGGCACACCACTACTCACAATTTATGAAAACTATGTTTGCGGTTCAATGGGTAGGAAGAGAGTGAGGTAAGAAATTTTACATGGTTAAGATCTAAGAAAATAATGCCTTAAAAAAAATTGTGTAACAGGAATCACTTAAAAGATTAGAAAGAAGATAGTGTGACTGAATCAACAAAAAGGATTGGGACTTATTTGCATAAAAGAAACAGATAATGTACATTTAATAAACATGGGAACCCCTCCTGCACCATCAGCAGAAAGCACTAAAGAATGAGGGCAAAAGAAGAGATAGTATATTGAGATTACTCCGGAAAAAACAGGATGTGCAAAATCCAAACCAGTATGCTGTTATTATAACACACAGATTGTTATGGGTAATAACTGCCCTACCTTAAGAATAAACGTAAGAATTCATTAAACTCCCTTGTGAGAAGGAAACAGAAAAAAAATCATTCAGAATACAGTCTCAAAAAACCCCAAACAAACTTAAAACATCGTATTTCTCAGCAGATAAATTATCTTCTGTTTTATAAAAACCTGAACGACCCCCAATTCCACTTGCTAACCAAAACAACCTCCTACACACTGAATTTTAGCTTCTCCCTGGATCAGAAAGACTTCTCTATTATGCTAAAGAGAACGAGGCGACACAACTATCAGTGCTACGCTCAGCATCAGGTCACATACGCAGGCCTCCCGCCCGGCCCAGCTCCAGCATCCACCGCGGTGTGAGTTCCGCTGCTACAGGAAGGGTGACCAACAGCTATCAACGCACCACAAGCAGCTTCCAAAGCTTATAGAATCATAGAATGGTTGGGGTTGG